CTTAAAGCAAAACAAACAGCAGCCACCGCTTTTCCATTTACGTCTGGCTGCCGGTCTAACCGTCTGCGGGAGGAAGCTTACGCCGGCCGGACCAAACCGCACGATTTGAATACTGATCCGAACAACGTGCCCCACAGAGGGTGAAAATAAACAAAGACCTGCAAAAGCACCAACCATTACGAGGAACCAACAGTTATAATTCAAACTGGATCTCACAAGGAGGAAACAGTACGATGTTTATTTACAGGAGGGGCAGGGAAACGGCCGACCACATCAAAAAGGGCCTTGTGCCACAACAGGCCCCATTGAGGCCGAGTGCGGTTTCTGTGTCGTTTTGTTAACCTGGGGTGGGCTGCATTTTGAACACTAAAAACACAATGATCCCCAACTTGGAACAGGTTTGCTAATGCAAAGTTCACGGAGTGTTGTACATATATCAAACCATGCTGTAATTATGCTGTAATTATGGTATGATCTTCCATAAATTTTCGAAAATTGACTTTTCGGAAGATAGGAAAATGTCGTCTAACGTTTTGGCATCAGATGCCCATGATATGTCTTTCATCCATCCTGACTTTTCCTGTGCTGTGTCCTGCTTTCTTTACACATGTGACGGTCAGGGCTCGAAGCAGCCGGACATGATATTTTTACACAGGCTTGGCAGATCGCTCAGAAAAAGGTCCGGAGTTAGCCTGTTCACTGCACTATTGTTTAGAGAAAACGTAGGAAGTTATTCAACACGCAAGCAATTCTTTATTGATCCTTTCATCTTCAGAGCACATACCCCGTACAGGTTCATGATGAGAGACTGTCCCAGAGAGCAGAGGACACACAAATACTATACATATTGTCATTTTATATTTATTTATAAGCTTTGTTTCCCATTTATACAAGCGCAGGTACATCATAATATGTTAGCGTTTGCATATCCCATCATGCTCTTCTTTACGACACATACACACGTACAGGTGAAACCTACACATATACAGGTGACACATACACACGTACAGGTGACACATACACACATACAGGTGACACTTACACATATACAGGTGACACATACACACGTACAGGTGAAAGTGAAGCATGTGGTCTAAGCACATGGGCAGCCATTTATCTGGGGCCCGTGGAGCATTTTGTGGTAGGTGAAGGACCCCCACCCCCTCGCTCAAGGGCCCAATGGAGATGTGATTATTCTGCTGAGGACAGGATTTGAACCAGTGACCTCCCGATCACAGGCACAACCCCCTGAACCGCACACCAACCCCATACTGAGATTTTACTGCAAATAGCCTAGAAACAAATGTGTACCGGGTTTAAAATATGTAGGCGTCTTTTTCATAAGACATAAAAAGGCTCGTCTTACAGGCGGGAGACAGCAGCAATAACTCCCAACGACGCCGCCATCCGGGTGGGTGGAGGGTCTGTGCCCTGACCCATGAAGAGCTCCACCCCAACACCGCAACCACAATCCATGCTTATGCCTGAGTACCACTGAGTGTGTGTGGGCCATGTGGAGCCAATAAAAGCGCGAGATTGACACGCGAGAGAGAAGCGTGTCGTTTCGGTAAACCCGAAGAGAAGCTATTTTTTCATTCAAATTGGGGCAACCAATTTTAGAAAACACCCAACGAGAATAGTCCATCACAAGACCAGAAAGGTACACTGTCCAAACTCTCCACGACTGATTTGTGAAGCACTACCATTTGTTTCGGTAAATCTCTAGGGCTTCAAGATGACTTTACGAACTAACTGATCAAGGAATGGCACGTTGTTCTTGAAAATAACAAAATCAGCTATGAAAGCGTGTCTTTACTTTTACAGCCATCATCCACTCACGTTACTGCGTATCTGATACAGGGTACCGGGGAGCCTGGTGTCTATCTCATGTACCATAGGGAACAAAGTAGGGGACACCATGAAGGGACTGCCACGTGATCCCCGGGAAATGAATGACGAATGATGGACCAGTAAGGACATTTCTGGCCGACACTGATAGCTGATTATTTCGAAAACTGACACCGATACAGATTATATAGGAGGTTCTGCTTAAGTAACTTTAAAGGGACACTTCACCCAAATCAATGACTAAATATATAAATTGCATTCCAAAAACATGAAAAAGTATTTATTTTTTGGTAATAAAACACCACCTCTGGCATACAACAACAGTCTGTATACATCTTATATCTGTAACATTTATAATAGAGAAGAGCTGATTAACAGGTGTGATAAAGTTCGTAATTTGCCGAGTAATATCTTTTGATTTTGCACTGTCTGCACTGAATTTTTTTCTGCAATGAAACGCTTGAGTTAGTGACGCACTCGCGTTATTCGACGGCACTTCAACCTTCTTTATTGGAGCGGATTTGTTTCTCAGAAACTCGTCATACTCTTCACTCTCGCCTTAAGGTGAGCAATCAATTGTGTTGTGTTGAAATGTGTTTTAGGAAATCCCCCTTGTGAAATTTTAGCAAAGCGACACAAAGGCCAAGTAAAGCCCGAGTCCAAGGTCAATTTTATATGCACTTCAATAGACGATATTTGTCACATAGTTTGTTACATAGTTCCTGTGAAAAAAAAATGGCTGCAACACAATGTTTGCAAGATTCTAACTGTTTAGTATGCGGGTCTGCAAAGCAATATGGGTCACCATTTGAAAATTGTCGGCAGTAAATATCAGCTCAGTTTTAACCATCGGCCTTAGGCCAACAGTTGGCCGATACAATTGGTGCATCTCTAGTCAAAACACATTAGATTATCAGTTTAGTTAAAGATTAGCTGACAGTTTTGTCTGTTACACATGAAGTGAAGCGTTGTAATGTGACACGACTAAGACAATGCAGTACTGTTTAAAAATATCAGATCTCTAATGGTGAACTGTAGGACCTGTCACACCACCTGTTAACCGTTTCCTAAAGTTCATCATTTTGGGCAGAAAAACAGGTTCATCAAAAATGTTCCTCAGGTCTAAATTTCTATAGGTAACCTGATCTTAATTACACATTCCAATTGTTCTCTTTTTCTCATATGCAGAAAGATATGGTAACCGACAAGAAAACAATAACATGAAAAATCCAACTTCTGAAATTGTTTGCCTGTAGGTCAGGTTTATTTTTCACAGGCAGAAGAAATGTTTGAAAATTTTCCTGATTCCCCAAAATTAAACAATCTCAGGCCACACACATGGACCCTGAAATCATAATACATTTAAGTTCCTTACAGTCTGCAACACAAATGACAAGAGACCCTTAATTTGTAAAAACGAGGCATCCTACTTTGTATCAAAACTTACAAGACTCAGTAAAAAGCATAGTGTGCAAATGACTCAGGAAATGCCACAGGGGGATATTAAAACATGTAAGTAATGATTAAGCTGAAGCGTTTCCACAAGTTGTGCTGAAACGTTAGTCACTCTAGAGACCAGACAAATTATTTGGTTCACACATTAATAAGACGGAATCAGCAGTGAATAACTGCACGCAGCCAGCGATTTGCTGGCCCACGGATGAGACTGACAGTCAGGACACATGCTCTGCAGGGCTCTTGATAAGAGCTGACCACAAACCAGTCGCCCATGAAGAGCATGGGGTTGACACGCTTAGCTCAGCAGTGGCGTCCTAATGACAAAGTGTCAACGAAGGGGAACCCCATCACCAGGCGCCAGGGTTAAGGGACCGTGAAGTGCTCCGTGGACAAAGCCTGGCATCAACAAAGCCAGGGTCAGGGAAGAGAGAAAGAACATTCTAGATCATTACACCCTCCGCCGCATGGGCCGCGACTCGGGGTTAATGAAGTACTTATATTCCAAATTTTACTGGTCTGATTGATCACCAAGTGCTTCTTTCCTTCAGGAAAACTGCAGGTCTGCTTGCGGTTACCCAGACTCATGCAGAACATCACAGCTTTTCAAATGCTTTCTAATACATATTCCAGTATCTACTACACAAATACATCAAGCTAAGGCGATTCCAGTTTAGTTTTAATTATACGTAGACCGAACCTGTTGTGCTGAGAGGTTACCTGACATTTTGCAGGCTTGTGTTTCTGTGTGTTACTCGTGTCATCAGTAAAGCACAATGCCAGAGATAAACTCATTGGGAATCGCATAAAAGATGGCAGCTAGAGTGTCCCTTAAATATTTCAAGAATTTATTTTAAACTTATTTGTTTTTTACTGCATAATAAACACTCTGAAATATTGAACATAACAACCCAAAATACCTCAGTATGGCACAAAGACTTTGCTCATGTCACATAGAAAATGACTAAGTGAAAGAACTTTAATTATGCAGTCCAAAGATCACCATTTAATTAACACCTCCCCCAACAAAAACACATTTAAAAAACTTAATTAGAATATAAGAGCTGCTTTGGCAGGAGAAGCAAGCAAGTCTTCCAAGAACATCTAAGAGATTTGTATCAGGAGTGACATCACAATAAATCACATGTCACACACAAGTTAAGGAAGAATGTGCAGGGAGAAGGGAGGTGCTGGGGAAAAGGGAGGCATCAGGGAAATGGGAGGCACTGGGGAGAAGGGAGGCATCAGGGAAATGGGAGGCACTGGGGAGAAGGGATGCATCAGGGAAATGGGAGGCACCAGGGAGAAAGGAGGCGCTGGCAAGGAAAAGGGAGCTGGCAGTGAGCGGGGAGCCACTGGGGAGAAAGGAGGTATTGGGGAGAAAGGAGGTGCTGGTAGAGAAAAGGGAGACGCCGGCAGGGAAAAGGGAGCTGGCAGTGAGCGGGGAGCCAGCGGGGAGAAAGGAGGTGCTGGCAGGGAAAAGGGATGCACCAGGGAGAGAAGGGAGCCAGCAGAGAGAAGGAGAAGGGTTAGGGGAGGTGGGGAGAGCAGAGATGGCAAGGAGAATGAAGATGCCAGCGGGGAGAAGGGAGGAGACAGCGGGCAGAAGGAAGGAGACGGCGGGGAGAAAGGAGGAGACGGCGGGGAGAAAAGAGCCTGGTGCTCTGTGGGGATCCTACAGCCAGTTATAAACATACCTGCAACCTGGCTGGGAATGTCCAGTCTGGGCTCGCATTTTGGAACGGAACAATCTGCAAAGCAAAGAGAAAGCGAGCAGAGTGTCAGCGGGAGTGAAAGGATAAAGCCATCGGAAGGAAGTTTATTCAGAGCTCAGCATGGACAGAATTTCAGTCCGATTAAGAGTCACTAATAATCAGGCTACTTTGGCCTGGACAAGACAGAGCATTAATATTTCTGAGGAGATTACAAGCAACTGAAAAAGTCTTTAATCTTTTTAAAGATGCAAAAAATATTTGGATTTTATCATTTAAGAGATGTTCATTCCTTGAGCTATTTGCACAAATAAGATAATTAAGCAATTTAAATATATATTTGTGGTTCATCACAATAATTTGTGACATTTTATGAAGACTTAGTATATCAGGGATGGAAACATTTTAATTTAAAATTTTTAATTAAAATCCTTCGTTTAACACCAGCAGATACAGGTTAAAGGCACAATACTTTTCCCCTTTAAGCACTTGAATCGATTAGCAACTTATCCTGCAATATCATGTCATGAAAGAAAAAACACACAGCACCTCCTGCTGGCCACACATGCCCAGTGTCTGTCAGCCAATGAAGCCTGCAACATTTTTCAACCAATTATGTCCTCAGTGTGTCGGTCAATCAAGACTTCAGCATCATTCAACCAATCACATTGCCAGCATCTGTCAGCTGGTCAATCACTCACTCGGCATGTGGTGAATGGCTGTGTGAAGTCTAAGACTGGTGCAGCAAAATGCAAGATCAATTTTAAAAAACTGTAATTAATTAAAATATCCAAATACTAAAAATCAAAAACACTCCAAAATCGAAAATAAGCTTCTTTTAATTAATTTAAAAACAAACTCAGCAAGCTCATTAGACTCAAAGTACCTCAAGATATTTGCATATAAAAAAAAAAAACACCTATATGAAACATTGACATTTCTAAACATTACTGAATTTTAATATTGCTGCATAGAGTTTTAAGGGCATAACGAAAGCATCAAATGCTCATTTGGATGCACATCTGAGGTGCTAAAATTTCTGCCTCTAAAGTACACCAATTAGCAATTCAGAATCACGATATTTGCCATTTGGTATATATATTAATTACCAGGTTTTTACATTTTGCTCCCCTTAAGACGCCCAGTTTTAGGGATCGCTACCCGTAATCATCTGGACATGGCGACAGAACCTTAACCTCCAAGGTGCACATCACCCTCCCAGCCTCTCAAAATAAAACTGAACCACCACCGAAAGAAGACTGGCATCGTCCAACTACAGCAAATCTGTCTCTGTGGAAACCCAGATGTTATGCAGGATTACACAAAAGAAAGGGGTTTAAAACACATCCCAGACCATGACTGTCCCTCAATCGCGGGCTGAAAGGCTTCATTTCAATTGACTGCTCCACTGGCAGGGATTCACACTGGATGTTGAGTCACCTGCTCGCTCCAATGAGGACTGCTCTCCTACAATTTAGTTGCTCTCTCACTTCACCAGTTTACCCCATTTGAGCACCAGAATTTTACAGGAATATCCCAGAGCGACGCTGAAACAGTTGGGATGGTTAGCATCTGCGCGGCAAGTACCACGGTGCAATACCAAATACTCTCTGAACCCTCGAGAGAGTGAGAGAGAGAGAGAGAGAGAGAGAGAGAGAGATACAGGTGATATGGGGCTTGTTGCCTGACTTTACCACACCCTGGGAAGCCCATGTCCTCCCCCCAATCTCATAAGCAGGTGCCATTTTTCCGTGGTTTATGATCCTAATTCCATTATCGACCAGCCATGCAGATTCCACCAATGAGCCATAAAAGCAGCGTGCATGTGCGTGTGTAAACACTCGTGGGGACATTACAGGAGGAAGTCGTTACGAATAATGCAGAAGAGTGCTGTCAGCCACGAGTCCACGGGGAAATAGGAGAGGGCGGAGACAGGAGCTGAGAATGCAGTGCACGGGTAATAACTGGAAGGGAAAAGTACAAATAAACACCAGCTTGTACCCTGGAGAGGTTTTCAGATGCAGTGAAGGCCACAGCTCAGGTTGGCATCAAAAAAACCCAAAAACCCAACCAAATTTCATTACTCAGAGGAGTTGCTCCCAGTGTAAGTGGCTGGGGGGGGGAGCTATGAATGGAATGGAGCCTTGCAGCTGGACCTGTGGGACGTGCTACAAGCCATGGCCATAAGGAGCGGGGGGAGGGGGGAGAGAAGGAACGTGTCAGTGCCCCAATGCTAACATGAAGTTTCCATCTCTGTAGGATAATAATCTGTCTGTGCGACCTGAATGTGGAACAGGAGAGTGGCCACACAAACCAGGAGGCATAGACTGAGCAGGCCAATCACGAGGCTGCAATACCACACGCACGGCTTTACACGTGCCTATTGGCGCTTTCTATAAATGACACATTGCGGAGGTTACTACTGTATCAGAGACATCTGTTACGCTTCTTAAACTGATCAGGGGCAGCTTTGTTGTTTCTAGGGCCCAGTCAAAAAGTCACTTAGGGGCCCCTGTGGGCCCCTCAGACGTTTCAAAGGCTAAATAAAAAGCTAACGAGTAGAGTCAGAAAATTGTAACTGGCTAGCTGGTTAGCAGAGTATCTCCTAAATAAGTGAAGCATTCATTTAATTTAATACTTAGTGTAGTGATTGTGGCCAACAAGGAGCCCGAACCTTGGGGGCCCCAAACAAATGCGTGGTTTGAGGACTGGTTACACATCGACAACATGTATAATATTCAAAAAAAGTCATCCATAAAAATTACCTGCAAATCCCAAAATTTTTTAACATGATTCAACCTTCAGCATGTTAGTCACACTGCAAGAGGAGACTGACTCATATTCTTTGAAGGTGATAGCTAATGTTAAATGAATGTCGAAACTTGGTAATAGTCACCGAGCCTCATTTTATTTCCTATTTCTTGGCATCGCAGCCCATAACACAAGTGGGAGCCAGCCTACTGGGTCCCATGACACCAAGCCAAAACAGTTCCTGAGATGCATTCCTCTTTTCAGCGCACGGCTGATTCTCCTGAAGCTAGGGATCTTAAAGAAACTGACCCATATCAAGAAACATGGACACATCTGTGTTTGGTTATGACCACATGTTCTGCACCCTCCAGAACATTACAGGAGGAAGCCGCGGATCATTCCATGTTAAGAAAAGGACAATCCGTTGGCCTTCCTCAAAAACTACGCTGCTTCGCAGCTTCTCGGTCCACTGAAACGCACATGAATTCACAATTACTGCTATTTCTGTAGCCAATCCACTTAAAAGGTGGAAATAATGTATTATCAGCTACCACCAACCCTTTTATCAAGGAATATATCGATCAGCACTCAACAAACTGCTGGTCAAGGAAGATAAAATCCCCAGGATTCATGACAGGACAACAAAATGGCTTCATATGTAAGAGTGCACCATCCAGCAATATCCGGCAAATTAAAGTGAGACTGGCCTCGTGAATCTGCTTAACGCTGCACATCCTCTTCAGTATAAACCATTAGTGTGAGTAACACTTCCTTCACAGTCACAGGCTTTCAAATCGACACGCTCATACCTTCAAAGTTTCGATGTTCAAGTCTAGAAATGCTCTGAAAATAAACTATATAAAAACCATGTTCGTTGACATACACGTTTCTTAAAGTATAGGAAAGTATGATTTTGAACAGGGAAAGGAATTACAAGCAGAGTACAAGCACAGATGCAAAGTCTCCTCTATTTAGTAGTATGTAATCCTAGGAAATATGTAGCAAGAATGTGTAATATCAGAATTAGGTGTATTGGCCAATTATGTTCACATGCGCACACACACACACACACAGAGGGAACTTGTCTCTGGATGCCAATGGCTGTCAAACATAATGGATACATACACAGTTAAGATAAGACAATGGACACATACAGTCTGGTTGATGTATACAATGTGCACATGTAGTTAAAAAATGTATTTAAAAAGTGCAAGAGTGCATGTCAGTGCAAGGAATGTTGGAATAAATACAATAGGTACTGTACAGTGTAAAAAGCATAGTGAGTCATTAGGTACTGTACAGTGTAAAAAGCATAGTGAGTCATTAGGTACTTACAGTGTAATAAGTACAGTGAGTCATTAGGTACTGTACAGTGTAATAAGCACAGTGAGTCATTAGGTACTGTACAGTGTAAAAAGCATAGTGAGTCATTAGGTACTTACAGTGTAATAAGTACAGTGAGTCATTAGGTACCGTACAGTGTAATAAGCCTAGTGAGTCATTAATACGGACCAACTGATTCCAGTAAAAATAATCTTTCCTAATAAGTTACAAACAGCGTACAGACCCCTCCTCTTATTTGTGCTCTCAAAAGGAGATTTCAGGACCAATCGACACCGTTTCATAGCGAACAGACTGAGCGGCACCAGCCTGTGGCGCCCACTCATACACACAACCGGATCAAAACCACAGGGTATCTTATAGTAACTTTATATAATGCAGGGATCCCATCAATAGGCTTCTGGACCACAAAAAAAAAAAAAATCGCATGACTTGGGCACTGACCCATTCCACTTCTTTCCACATCTTACCTCACAATTCACACTCCCTCCCCCCAGCCAGAGGGGCTCTATTAATACATAATCAGGGCCAGGGCTGCAATGCAGGGCAAACATCAGATATTTATTTCTAGCTGCAGGATGACCATGGGTGGGTATCACAGCGCTTTGGACTCAAAGACTGAAAGCCTAAATGCCAGCTAAAGCTGCATTATGTTCTTATTGAAGATGAATTCACTGTTCCCTCAAACTGCGAGCAGATGGGGGAGATGCCTAACTTCAGAAGTGCATTTCATTTCAGAGCCATGTTGATTAAAAACACACATCTGATTGACCAGATCATTCCTCTGGTTTATTGTAAATAAAGACATGATGATATTTCTCACCGACGCTTCATAATGAAACCATTTTAAATCCAAATTATGGCATCTAGATTAAATCTAGAGTTCAGTTAAGAGCAGGGAATTGTGTTTAAAACCTCAGAGCTCTTCTTTGCCCCGGCGCCTCTTAGTTGAGATGAATCGAGACTCTGATCGAGCGTCAGAGGTGAGTGGACAGAGCTGGCGACAAACTGCCTCAATGCTTCGCGCAAAAGTGAGCTGCTGGAGGCACCGATGGCCGGGGGGGCCATCAGCTCCCATACCCTATCAGCGGGGGGGCGGCCATGATCAGAAGGATTGCATGTATGCCAAACAGACTGCAGCTGTCCTACAACTTCTCTTCGCAGCCCGGCCAGCTAAACTCTTTGGTGGAAGGCGAAGTATTACATAACTCCATTTTCCTCACACTTGGCTCCAGCTGTGCAACTCATTTCTGGAATATTCCAACCAGAAAATCTCCCCGGCTCATCAGAAGACGACGACTGCAATCCGCTGCGAAACTAACACAGCCGCTCGCTTTCTGCTATTCACTTCGTTTTTGGAAATTCGTTTCCCACTAACGGCAGTTACGTGTGGCCTATCCGTCATACCGAACAGCCTGAAACGGTCAGATTAAAATGGCTGTTAGATTCTGAGTATTATCAACAAAGACAGCCAAAATTCACCAAACACAGGGACAGTTTTATTTCCCCAGACAGCTGTGTCCCTCACTAACAGTAATTGGTCTGCTAACAACAGACACTTTGCACTTTAGGCAGCTGGAATTTGATAATTCATAGTAGCAACATTCCTGTTTACTTACTTACATTAACTATTTATTAGGGCTGTAACAACTAATCGATAACCACGACAATAGTTGCTAATAAAAATTTTGTCATGGATTGGTTGCATCAGTTTGCTGCGTTAACTGCATACAATGACATCACCACCTAGTAACGTTAACGTAGGTGCGTTAAGCCTAGTTCATACTTCGCTTTCCTGCGTGCCGTTGTGGTTCACGCTTGGTCGTTAGCAAGCTAAATATGGCGGAGACAGTGAGACTGCAGATCATTGTTTGTTTGACTTTAAAATCAGGATTCTTTATACTGTGTGCATTTTTTTAATTACAAAAGGATTTAAAAATATGTCAATTTTTTTTTTTTTTTTATTAAAAAAACACGATTAATCGATTAACAAAATAATCGTTTTTTTGCAGCCCGACTATTTATTTCACCCTTCATTCCAACCCATGCTGCTTCTAACTGTAATCCGGTGTTAAAAGTATGTATAAAATTATAAATTGTCCTGATATTTTTTTGCGTGAATTTTTTTGTCAATAAAATTCCGAAAATAAAGATTCCAAATTACAAGGACAACTTCATGAAAGCAGGTTTTAAGGAGTCCAGCACACTTGTGGGGTACAGAGATCATAATTCCCCATTTGGTCTTCCAACAAAAGAGATTCTGTACACAGCGATGAAACCCAACGAAGAAGTGGGATACTCATATGGTTTCCACACCCCCTGTGCCCCCCCCCCCCCCCCCCCCCCCCCCCCCCCAAAACCACACACTCACACCCCAAACCCTTTACTTACAGCTTTGATGTCTGGCAGCAAAATAAGCACAAATGCCAATTCATCGACCGAATGCGGAGACATTCACAGAAAGGTTTTCACTGGAAGGTTTTCCAGTTATCCCTTCCGTTTTCCACCAAGATCTAATTATCGAGTCAGATATAAAAGTTTTCAGTCACCAGAAGAGACGATGGGGTGTGGGACAAAAAGAAAACAGGTGACACACACAAATGCAAATTGACGTCAACCTGGGAACCTAAATTATTAAAAGTGACTCTCTCAATAAAGGCTAAAATATCGCATATCTCCACTCCACCACTAGAGGGCATCCCACAGAACCACCAACCTTCACCTTACAAGGTCACGTCCTCAGCCGTCCCTGTCCCTGCCAAGTGCTGAATGTCCCTTCCCACGTTGTTAAGTGTACTAAGTGGGCTATGATAGCGCACTTATAACCTGAGAGCATAAAGTGAGAGACGCCCCGGCTCCCACGCCCAGAGGAACGCGTCTGGGCCCTAAGAATAAACCCGCCCCCTGCTGAAAGAGCCACGGGGCACAGAAGGTGAGAGGTCAAGCACCGGGACAACTGCGTCTCAAATGGTTTATCAAGTTTCACGAGAGCCTGCTTTACACGCGGGTGTTAAACTGGCTAAGCAAAGTAACATAATTAATTACTAATCCAGAAGCTAAAAAAATCATTTCTTTATACTGCATATAACCTGCATTGCTAGTACGGGTGTCAAGTCGGTTCATCTTCTTAAAGCTATTTGGAAAGGCTGCCATGGGGGAAAAAAAACTATTTAATTTAACAAATAGCAATGCATTTGCAAAATTAATGAAACTGATGTTTTTTGCCTATTATTGTGGTCATTCAGCATTAGGTTTAAATTTAATCAGCATCTCAGTTAGGAAAAAACAACAGGACAAGGCGGGAGATAGGCACGAAGCAGGAGACGTCCCGGGCAGCACGGGTAGGGGTCATCCGGGGGGGCGGCACGAGTCAGGGGACAGGGACTCTCGGGGTGACACAAGGTGGGGGGGGGTGACACCTTGGGTGGCATGAGGCAGGGGAGGGGGACACCCTGCGTGGCACGAGGCAGGGGACACCCCAGGCGACACGGGGTAGGAGACGGAGATACACTGGGGGGCATGAGGCAGGGAATGGGGACACACTGGGGGGGGGTGAGGCACAGGACATCCAGGACATCCCACTAGATGGTATGAGACAGGGGACACCCTGGGCAAACCGAGGCAGGGGACTGGGACACACTGGGGTGAATGAGGCAGGAGACACCCTGGGCAAACTGAGCCAGGGGACTGGGATACACTGGGGTGAATGAGGCAGGGGACACCTTGGGCAAACCAAGGCAGAGGACCAGGACAGGGGACACCCTGGGCAAACCGAGTCAGGGGACCAGGACACACTGGGGTGAATGAGGCAGGGGACCAGGACACACTGGGGTGAATGAGGCAGGGGATCAGGACACACTGGGGTGAATGAGGCAGGGGACACCCTGGGCAAACCGAGTCAGGGGACTGGGACACATTGGGGTGAATGAGGCAGGGGACACCCTGGGCAAACCGAGCCAGGGGACTGGGATACAGTGGGGTGAATGAGGCAGGGGACTGGGACACACTGGGGTGAATGAGGCAGGGGACACCCTGGGCAAACCGAGTCAGGGGACCAGGACACACTGGGGTGAATGAGGCAGGGGACCAGGATACACTGGGGTGAATAAGGCAGGGGACACCCTGGGCAAACCGAGTCAGGGGACCAGGACACACTGGGGTGAATAAGGCAGGGAACCAGGACACACTGGGGTGAATGAGGTAGGGGACACCTTGGGCAAACCAAGGCAGGGGACTGGGACACACTGGGGTGAATGAGGCAGGGGACACCTTGGCAAACCAAGGCAGAGGACCGGGACACACTGGGGTGAATGAGGCAGGGGACACCTTGGGCAAACCAAGGCAGAGGACCAGGACACACTGGGGTGAATGAGGCAGGGGACACCCTTGGCAAACCGAGTCAGGGGACTGGGACACACTGGGGTGAATGAGACAGGGGACCGGGACACACTGGTGTGAATGAGGCAGGGGACCAGGACACCCTGGGGTGAATGAGGAACGGAATATCCTGGGCGACATGAGACATAAGACAGGTACACCTTGGATGGAATGAGGCAGGGGATGAATGAGAAGAATTGAGTGGATCAAGGCAGGGGAAACCCTGGATGGAATGCCGGTCCATTATTGGGCAGACTTTGACACATGTGAAACAAAAAATAACAGAAAATGGTGAAAATAACTGTTGAAAGACTTGAATAGAGAAGAGATCAGTAGCTCATATGAATGTAATAAGAAAAAGCTCAGTGTTACATGCAATAGAAATGTAGCATCTGTTTATGTATATTATACAACTTTCAGGACCCTCAGAATGCTGATATCAGTTTTGTTTGTACAGCAATCCCTTAATCTATGATAACTGGATTACATTTTTTGCCGTAACAAGCCTTAAACTGTCATATCAGAATTTTGGTTTATGGACCATTTCCTTGATGTAACATTTTTCAGCCGACACATACAGAAAAACAGCAGTGCAAGCATTACAGTTTTAGCAAAAACACAACACCTTGGTACAACATGCGAAAACAATAAAACTTCATTACATTAAACTGTTTTGATTATTTATTAGTCCAAATCGTTGTTTCTTATTTTTTTGAACTCTTCATAGCTCTAGTGATATTTGAGGAAATTGGATTCCTTAGGCTGGGCTAAAAACACTTGATAATTTCGGCCTTTCTCTGATTACTTAATTTGACATTCAAAAAAATAAATAATGCAAATACTGGGAAGGCTGTACTGGGAACCTTTGTTGGGCCATGGCTGCGATCTCAGATGGAAAGCAGGTGAGATCTTCTGGAAAGAAACGGCTAACTGAATTGTATGGTTTAGCATAACAACTACGTACCAGGGAATAACAGCATGAGGAGACACTGATTCTGACTCATTAGCAGAGGCGCCCTGTGAGAGCAAATTAACGGCCAACCTCACAGAAAGCCAGGGTGGTTCTGATGGGCAGTGAAAAATGCGTGAACAACAAGTGTTCCTGCCTCAACGCTAAATCACAGCAAGCTTAGATCATCCATCTATCCATCTTCCAACTGCTTCTCCAATATAGGGTTCCAGAGCTTATTCCAAGCAGCACAGGACAAAAGGAACAGACTGGTGATATACTGGTGTCCTGTCCCTGGTCAGGACACCAGGTCTATCACAGGACACAGGGCTGGGGGTCACCCTGGACAGGATGCCAGTCCATCACAAGGCACAGGGCTGGGGGACACCCTGGACAGGATGCCAGTCCATCACATGGCACAGGGCCGGGGGACACGCTGGACAGGATGCCAGTCCATCACAGGACACAGGGCCGGGGGACACCCTGGACAGGATGCCAGTCCATCACAGGGCACAGGGCTGGGGGACGCCCTGGACGGGATGCCCGTCTATCACAGGACACACACAATGGGCAATTCAGAGATGCCTTTTCATCTAAGATCATGTCACTTCAGGAGGAAAGTGAAGCACCCAGAAGGAACTTGCGAATCACAAGGAGGACATGCAAACTCCGCACAGACTCAGCAGAGATGGGGTTTGGACTCCCATCACCGGAGGTGTGAGGCAGCAGTGCTGCCTACTGAGCCACCATGTTGGCCACAAGCTCAGATCAGCCTGTTAAACTGTTTCCATGGTTATTAAAACAGGGACGGCCTCCATTTCTTTAAACCTGTGGTGAGCTGTGGGACATTCTCTGAAGAGATATTGATCTCGTGGACAGAATGTATGTTGCTGAACACTTTCATAGATCACGTGTTCTGCACGCAAAGGTATCATCACACCAGTTTCTTAGTTTCTGCACCTGCAGTGAAGGGTATGTACTGACACTCCTCACTTAATGAACTTAAGGTCCACCCGGACTTACGACCGGCTCTCCGACCAGTCGCTACTGTACGCTCCACGAGAACATTGGTCATGGAAACAGCAGCGCGGCATCTCAGCATCAAGCATCTCATTTTGCGTCACCATTTCTCAGTCTCAGTCTCGGTCTCATTCCCACAATTGCTCAGTATTCACTACATTAGAGCTCGCAATATCTGATTACCTGTATTTACAGTATGCAAGCCAAAGTAATGTATATTAGAGTTAATTTCCTCCCCTCTGTTTATCACAGTATACAGAGCACTACTCTATAATCATTTATAAATCTATTAAAAATGTTATAAATGGTGCAAAGATGACATTAAAGCACTTAAGACAGTTGACACAAACCCACTACCAGTGCTTGAAATATCGGTAAGGGGCGACTCCTCAATTATTGACCAATTCGCTTAACGACCTAGTCGTAGGAACAGAACTCGGTCGTTAAGTGAGGAGTGTCTGTACTTAAGACACCAAAGATCTCTTGCCTAAAGCTCTGGATCCAGTCCACCCTTCTATCTTCATTCCCAAGGCAGGCACGCTGGCTTAGGAGTTAGGAGTGACCAGTCAGGGTCACTGTGATGCAGTGATTATGCTGGAAATCAAAGGGACCCAGGACGAAGTGCATGACAGGCCCTCACAGAGCACCTATGGCGTAACAGAGAGATGCACAATATATCGGTTAAAATTTAAAAAAATTCTAAATATCAGCATCTGACTGTTGTGTCGATATCTGTGGAAACTGCCAGCCGATTTTTAGATTTTATCCAGTGTTCAAAGTTAGCAGCACCAGTGTAAAAGACATAACTAGTAAAATAAAGGAGACTGCATCAGCCATTCTCCGTAGTGGAGGATGAGGGATTCCATCAGCTCATTCACCACTTAGAACATCCCTTCAGTCTCCTAAGTCACTGCTCACATAACATCAGATTCACTACAGATCTGCGGGGCTCAGAGGTTAAACCATTATCGATAATATTAAACAAAAATATATCTGTATCAGCCAAAATTTCCACATACATGCAACACTAGTCTAACTCCCATATATGTAAATGTGACTTCACGTTTATTTTCCCTTGCAATACGTGACCAAAAGAACCCATAAAAACACATGAAGGCTGATGAACCAAAATTGACAAAAATGTGAAAAAGAAGTATTTTCACATACGAGAACTTCCCCCAACATCTGTATTTCTGTGTTTGTAGTCCTTGATTTATACACAGGCACACACAATTCAGGTATGTACCAACTACGAGAACCGCTTGCCCATATATATTAGATTTGTCCATTTAAACATAGGACAAAATATAGGTT